AAGAGGGGGAGGCCTTCAACGAGATGGATTGATACGGTGGCTGCAATGATGAGCTCAAGCATAGCAGGGATTGTGGGGCTGGCGCGGGATAGGGCAGTGTTTCGTTCTGCTGTGCATGGGGTCGCTATGAGTCAGAAACGACTCGATGGCACTTAACAACAACAACAACAGCTAAGGCTTAACTCTCAGCCAAACAACAGACAAGCCTATGAGCCCAAACCTACACCAGGGAGATGCACTCCTTAGAATGATCAACCATGGAAGATCAGACGGGCAGCATTTGCACAGGAAGAAAGGTAGGGAAGCAGGAATGCATAGGCAAGAGGGACATGTTGTTGTTGTTGTTGTTATGTGCCATTGAGTCGGACCAGACTCATAGAGACCCCTCCTTGGGTTTCCGAGGCAGTATCACTACGGAAGGAGATTGCCCAACCTTCCTGCTGAGGAGTGGCTGGTGGGTTTGAACCACCAGCGTCTGGTTAGCAGTCAAGTGCCTTAGGCACTGTGCTACCAGAGCTCCCTAAGAAGGATATAAGGAAAGGCTTATCACAGGGAGAAGGTGGGAGAACTGTTACACGGCAGGGAATGTAAGTAGTACCACAAAACATAATGGATATAAACTGTTGAATGTAAAACAGATGTGTTTTGTAAAATTTTACCCAAATCACAATGAAAAGTGACACACACAAAAGAAATCAAATGACCTATTGCATTGAGCAAATCTGCTGCAAAAATACGTCTTGAAAGTGTTAAAAAGCAAATATGTCCCTTTGAGGATGAAGATGCACCTGAGCCAAGCCTTTGCATTTTCAGTTGCCTCACATGCATGTGAGAGCTGGCCAACGAGTAAGACCGAAGAAGAGTTGGTGCCTTTGAATTATGCTGTTGCAAAGAATATCGAATATACTATGGACTGTATATTCAAAAACAAACAAATGCAAAAACATACAAATCTGTTTGGAAGAAGTATAGCCAGAATGCTCCTTGGAAGCGAGGCTGGCAAGACTTCATCTCGTGTACTTTGGAAATGTTACCAGGAGGGACCAGTCCCTGAAGGATGTCATTCTTGATAGAGGGTCAGCAAAAAACAGAAAGACCCTCAACGAGATGGACTGCCACAGTGGGCTCAAGCACAGCAGTGACTGTGAGGATGGCTCAGGACCTGGTGTTTCACTGTGTTGTACATGGAGTCACTATATGAATTGGAACCAACTCAACGGCACCTAACAACACCTTTACAGAAAATGTCTGCCAACCCTGGTCTAGGCCCAGTAACCCAGAAGTAACATACATTTAACCACATAAACGTGAGAGTAAGACCCTGGTATAGAATTTCTAGAATAAACATTAGTGCCAAGACATAAACAGGGATCCTTCTTAGATCCTCTTGTACCCAGTGCCTTGGTCCAGGGCTAAGCTTTATAGCTGAGCAGGCATGTCAGGATTAGCACCTCCTGAATGAAGGGCAGGGCCTCCTGTGATGACAGGGCTCTTTTCTCTGTCCTTGGTCATATTTTGGGGTGAGAAGTCCCACTGGGCACTGAAACCCAGTTTGGAGGGAAATCGAAGTTGAGGGGATTATCAGAACCCCTCTGCAAGGGCAGACTTGCCCCACTGCTCCCATGAAGAGGCTACAAAAGGGTTGAAGGAACCTTAGGAGGAAACACTGAAAAGGCAGGAGGAAGCCATGGCCCGTCTTGAACAAGTAGAGGGGGCAGGAAGACAGAGACTGCCGACATGCAGGGGAGTGGTCCCCAACCTGTGGTGATTATGACCTCCACTGACCACTAGGACCCATGACAGGCCACCTGGGGGAAGGGCAAGGCTGCTTCTGCCATCAAGTGAGTGGAGACTCAGCACCCTGCAGTGCACAGATGGCCCCCAAGGCACGGAAATACCCAGCTCAAGATGTCAAAACAGGGCCAGAGTCAGGAAACCCTGACCTAGAGCCTGAGACTATGGCCCCTAACTGCCCGTCAGGTCTGAAATTGAACGCACATCTGTGACTTCCAGCCAAACAAAAGACAGGCATATGAGTTGAACATGTACCTGAGGTAGATACACTCCTTGGAGAGAACAATCATGGGAGAAAAAGGGCTGTGTATGCACAGGGAGACAGCTCAGGGGGCAGGAGTGCATGGAGGGTTGGACACAGGGAAAAGGTAACTATGGGGAGGAAGTGGGAGGGGAGCTGTTGTACTATGGTAAATTGTAGTCAGTGTCATGAGATGAAGTCTATGTGAGTTGGTGTATGGAAAGTGAATTTGCTCTGTAAATTTTCGTTCAAATCACAATAAAAAAGAAAGAAAGAAAGAAAGAAACCCTGACCTAGGGGAAAAGTATCTAAAGCCTCTGACCTTGAGGGAAAGACATTAAGAGGGAGCTCTGGACCCCTTGAGCTCTGGTGGTACAGTGCCTAAGGCATCTGACTGCTAACCAGAAGGCTGGCAGTTCAAACCCACCAGCTGCTACACAGAAGGAAGACTGGGCAATCTACTTCTGTAAAGATTTACCACCTCAGAAACCGTAAATCTTCTGTAAAGATTTACCGTCTCAGAAATGGGGGCCGCAATGAGTCGGAATCAACTCAATGGCAGTGGGTTTGGTTTGGTTTTTCGTCTTAGACTCTGAGACTGAGTGAGATTCACACGCAAGGCCAAAGGCCCCCACATGCATCTTCGCGTTGCTACTAAAGGGGCTTTGTCCTCAAGTCCATCAGTGGAAACCTTACTCGGAATCCCTGGGGAGTATAGTTAATGCACTCAGCTGCTAACCAAAAGGTTGGAGGTCTGAGTCCACCCTGAAGTGGCTCAGAAGAAAGGCCTGGTGATCTTCCAAAAATCAACCAGTGGAAACCCTCTGGGGCACAATTCTACTCTGATGCAGAGTAGAACTCTGTGTAGGGCTCACAGAGTCCTCCGTGAGTTGGAATCAACTCAATGACAAGTGCCTGGGAGGATTCAAACAGTTAATGTGTTCTGCTGCCAAATGAAAGGAAGGGACACCTTGAAAGAAAGGCCTGGCAACCTACTTCTGAAAAATCAGCCACTGAGAACCCTATGGAGCACAGTTTTACCAACACATACAGGGTTGTCATGAGTTAGAACAAAATCAATGTCAACTGGGAAAAACAGCTCACTTGGCAAAGAAAGAATCAGCCAAAATTGCAGACAGAATGAAACCTAGGTGAGCCAGAACTCACCAGGACTGCCTTCTTTTTCCGGGTCTTACAACTTTTCTGTCTTTGACAGGGTACAGTCTTTCCACATTTCTATGGCTCGTTTTAGTGGAAAATAATTTGAGTTTTCCTCCTCTGAGAGGTTTCTACCTTACCCAGGTTCCGGCTTTCGCAGGTCTTACTGCATCATTACACAGGATTTTTCCCGTTGGCAATGAAATTCTCGAGGGGAGAGGAGAGGAAGAACTCCCCAGAAAGGATGAAGAGCAAACACAAATGCTGCTCATGTTGGCGGCAGGGGGACAGGTGCAGAGGGCCCCAGATGACCCTCAAATCCCTCCTCTCCCTACAAGGGGTCTCCACGGCTGGGAGTAGAGGAGGAGGAAGTAACAAAAGAAAGACACATGGCCCTGCCTGGGGGCCTCACTCAGACTCACCTACACACAGCCGGCCCGTGGCATCTAGTGTCAGGCCCTGTGGGCAATCACAACGGAAGGAGCCAGCCGAGTTGAGGCAGCGCCCGTTGGGACAGACCCCGGGGAAGACTTCACACTCGTTCACATCTGGGGGGGGGGGGGCAGACAAGGGGGAGAGGGGAGGGCTGGGGCGCCTAGGAGCAGGAGGGTGTTGGCTTCCCCCTTGCAGCCCAGAAAACCCTAGTTGTCCTTGGGAAGGTCATTGGGGGACAAAGAGGGGGCAAGGTCAGTCTCCGGGGCTGGGAAGGGGGGACTGGGGAGACCTGGGTCCCAGCAAAGGGAACCTTGCTCTCAACCTCAGAGCTTCAGGGAGGAGCCCAGGTAGCACCTATGACAGGTGCCTGCCCATGTTGAGTCACAGGGTGAGTTGGAGGGGGCAGGGCGTTACCTGTGCAGGTGAGGCCCTCTGTGCGCGCAAAGCCCTGGGCACAGGCAGGGTCTGTGTTGGGGAGAAGGTAACTGGTGAAAGGAATGACTCCACCCCCGCCCTGGGACCTCCTCCACCCCCAGCCTTGCCCCACTCTTGTGATGGGTGCCAGGCAGGCTGGGATCGGGCTCCCAGGGTGGTACCAATCTCGCAGCGCTCGCAGGGGCTGCCCCAGGCGGCTCCCAGGGTGGCGCAGCACTCAGCCCGCAGGGTGGCTCCATGGAGGTTCGCCTCGCAGCGGCTGTCCTGAACCTGCAGCCAGCAGGTGCCCTTGGTGCTGTCTGGGGGGGTGGGGATCACCTGTCTCACCTGTCAGGTCCTGTCTGGCCCCACACATACAGGCCAACCCAGCCCGCAGCAGGGTGCAGGGCAGGGCAGGGGGTGTCACTGGAGCCCCGCAGGGATGGGGCCTCTTACCTAGACACACGGTACCAGAGGGCCCCAGGCGGCTGCCAGGGGCACACTCACAGGAATAGGAGCCAGCCAGGTTCCGGCACATGCCACTCACACACGGGGCGGAAAGGCACTCGTCGACATCTGTGGTGACAGCCCACAGTGGTCCTTAGCTGTGGGAGGGAGAGCCTCCCAGGGCCAGGGACCCCTCCTCCCAGGGGCACAGAATGCACAGGTGCATGCGTGTCCACATGTGTGCATGAGCAAACAAGGTACATGGGCATGTGCAGGGTGCATGGGAGCCCAGCATGCGTGTGGGTGAACATGGGCAGCTCTCCTGGGCACACATGTGCATTCATGTGTGTTCATGCTGGGCCTCGGGCACCCACACCTGTCTGCCGGCACTCAGGGTGTCATGCACACACCTGGTGAAAAGTGGGCCAGTCATGGTGGGGAGTGGTGACACTCTAGGGGCTGTGTCACAAGAGAGGACAAGGGTGGAATGGGAGAGTGGGGGGACCAGAGAGGGTGGGACCTGGAGGTGACAGGGTGGAGGGAGGAGCTGGGAGCAGGCAGCTAGGCCCAGACTATGGCAGAGGGTGAAGGGAACAGGGCCCAAGAGGTGACATGTGGAGGACACTGGTGACCTGGGGACAGTGGCACTGGCGTGAGGTGAGGGGGTGAGGACAGCCTCCTGGACATAACGTGAGGTGAGGGGAAAAGGGAGTGAGGCACAGGGCTGAGAGAGAAGGGGGCTGAGAGAGAGGGTGTGTGGCTGCTGACACGTGAGCACATGTCTGTGACAGTAGGGCTGCACTATGGACAAGGACCTCACCACAAGGGTATGCCTGTGTGTGAGTGCATCAGTATGTGAGCTGGTGAGCAGTGGGTCCAAGTGTGTTGCTTTGTGCAAATGCATGTGACGGGATAGGCAAGTGTTCTCACATGTGAGTGTGGAAATGAGTGCACACGGGGAATATGTGTGAGGGCACATTTAAGTGTGTGTAGCTGTGTGTGACTAGAAGCTTAAATGTGAGTGAGTGAGAGTGTGGGTATGTGTGTCTTTGAGTCTGGGTACACATGAGTATGCTGTGTGGGAGTATATGAGTGTGAGTACATGTGTGTAAGTGTGTATGTATGAGCATGTGTACATGCATGTATAACTGTAGGAGCATCTATGTACAAGCATGTGAAAGTATGATTGTGTGTGCAGGTGTGAGAATGGGTTTGTGAATGTGGCTATACATGTGCTTGAGCATTTACCTGTGAATATGTATGTATTAGTATATTTGAACATATGTGTGCAAATGGGTGTGAGCACACACATGTGAATGAGTATGTGAAGTGCATACAACTCTATAAGGGTCTTTGAGTGCCTGTAACTACACAAGTGTGAAAAAGTGTGAATATGTGCATATATATTTGTTGTATGCATCTGTGTGAGAGTGTGAGTGTACATGTGTAAGTATCTTTGGATGTGAGTCTGTGTAAGTGTGAATGCATGAGTGTGTGTGAATGCAGGTATATGTGTATCTGGGTGTACACAACACCTGCGGTGTGCCTCCCAGGGCCCCGTACCTTCGCAGGTCTCCGTGTCCTGCTGGAAGCTGAAGCCTTGGGGACAGGAGCAGCTGTAGCTGCCAGGGCTGTTTCGGCACCATCCGTGGTCACACAGGAGGCTGTTGAGGGCGCACTCATCCACATCTGCAGATGAGGGTGGAGAAGCTGTGAAGTCTGTGGCAGGGACGCCTCGTCCATCCCCCACCTAGCCGTCCATCTGCAGCCCACTCACCCACGCAGTCCTTGCCCGCTGCGCCCGCCTCATAACCCAGGTTGCAGACACAGCGGTAGCTGCCCCGAAGATTCTCGCACATGCCGTTGGTGCAGATGTCGGGGTCCAAGGCACACTCATTGATGTCTGCAGCAGGAGGAGAGGTCAGCAGCCACCCCAGCCCATCACAGGCAGCCAGAGGCCAGGGGTCCCAGTTCAGGCCTGGCCCCCTTGCCCTCTAAACCAAAGCTCCCCAAGTTTGGCATCGTTGGCATTTGTGGCTGGGTCATTCCCCTCTACAGGGACCATCCTGGCCACGCAATCCCTGGGTGGTACAAACGGTTAACACGTTCAGCTGGTCACGTTCAAAAGGTCACAGGTTGGTGGTTTGAGTCCATCCAGAGATGCCTTGAAAGAAAGTCCTGATGATCTACTTCCAAAAAATCAGCCATTGAAAACCCCACGGGGCACCGTTCTACTCTGACACACAGGGGCTGCCAAGAGTCAAAGTCAAGTCCACAACAACTGGTGTGGGTTCTGTGCATTATAGGATATTGAGCCACATTCCTGGCCTCAAGCCACTCACTACTGATAGCACCCATCCCCAGCTGTGACAATCAAAACTATCCCCCGACACTACCAAGTGTCCCCTGGGAAAAGAGACTGAGAACCACTGGGATGGCCATTTATTCAGCAGAAATGTCATTTTTTAAAAAAAAATTGGTAATCGTTAGCACTTACAGGGTACTTACATTTTGGGCCAAGCACTGTCCTAAGTCCATGAAGAATATTAACTCATCTGATCCTCCCTACATTCCTGAAATGGCCCCCATTTGATAAACAAGGAAACTGAGGCACAGAGAGAGTAACTAACTTGCCCAAAGTTATTCAATTAGTGAATGGGGGGGGGCTGTATTCAAACCCACGTAGCCTATGCCTTTAACAACAGAGTAAGAGATCTGAAATCAGTGTAAAACTTGACAGCAGCCTGAATGCTTTCAACTCCCTCTGGGAGGAAAGGGAGGAGTATGCATGTGTGGAAATGTGTGTGCAGACATGTGTTTCACATGCATGTCTGTGCATATGTTCAATGCATGCATTCTACATGTGCCTGTCTGTATATGCATGGGCACATGTATGCGTGCCTTGTATACGTGCATCTTTGCATGTGTGTTTGTGTGCATGGGTGTATGTGCATGCATACATGTGCACATCTGTGTCTGATTAGCAAACAAGTGATGAAAAGCACAGACATGTGCAATCGCCTTTCCTTTCAAGATCTCCTTTCAAACTTCACAGATAAGGCACCATGGGCTGAGATGGGTGGCTGCGATCAGCCAGTGAACCCAGGCGGGAGGCTGTCTGTTCCTGGGGAGCTGCAACTGGACACAGGGCTCAGGAGGAAACTGACGGAAGAGGGGGCACGTGGGAGTGAGCACAGCTCAGCCCAGCCTCTTCCTATCGCAGGAAAAGCCCACTAGAGGGGTTGGGACACTCACCTCTGCCATCTGTGGTGATGCCTAGGCCACTGCTGCAGAGAGCCTGGAACTCGGCTGTGGTGGCGGGGGGCGGGGAGCAGAAGGAGAAGGGTCAAGCTCAAGGTTCTATGTCACTGTGAGCCTGATCCCTGCCCCGAGACATGGCCCTTGACCCTAGACAAGACTTTGGGACCACAACATTTCCCTCACGTTGTAGACTACCTGCAGTGTCTTCTTAGGAAGAGAAGCCCCCACCTCATGGGAGCTGAGACCCCTTCCACCCTGTGCCCCAAGAGGGATGACCTAAAAACTGAGCCAAGGAGGGGCCCGGAGCTGGGAACTCACCAGAGGTCTTGGCAGGACACAGCTGGCAGGGCTCTCCAAACCCGTGGTCTGGGCTGGCACAGCAGCACTCGGACTTGGTGACAGCGCCAGGGAAGGGGCGGACGCAAGAGCTCTTCTCGACAGCCCCATAGCATGTGCTGCGCACGTGGGTGTCCACACAGATGCGCCCGTCAGCACCCACTGCCAGCCCACCCAGGCACCGGCAGTGGAAGGAGCCTTCAGTGTTGGTGCAGTGGCCATTCATGCAGATTCCAGGTGTCTGGCACTCGTCGATGTCTGTGGGGTGGGGTGGCACTGTGACAGATCCCCTCCCCACTCAGCCCCCCACCAGCCCCTTTTCCTGTCCTAGCTCTCTCCTAAGCCATGCCCCCCTCTTTTTAAAATATATCTATTTTCTTATTGTGATTTGGGTAAAAATTTACACAGCAAATTTACTTTCCCTACAGCAGTTCACATACACTTTGTCTCATGACATTGACCACAATTCACCACAATGCAACAGCTCCCCTCCCACTTCCTCCCAACAATCACCTCTTCCCTGTGTCCATCCCTCCATGCGCTCCAGCCCTCTGAGCCGTCTCCCTGTGCATAAACAGACCTTCTTTCT